AGGTGAGTGTTACACATACAGAGCTGGATAAACCAGGAGAGTGTACACATACAGAGCTGGGTAAACCAGGTGAGTGTTACACATACAGAGCTGGGTAAACCAGGAGAGTGTACACATACAGAGCTGGGTAAACCAGGTGAGTGTACACATGCAGAACTGGATAGACCAGGTGAGTGTACAAATACAGAGCTGGGTAAACCAGGTGAATGTACACATACAGAGCTGGATAGACCAGGTGAGTGTACACATACAGAGCTGGATACACCAGGTGAGTGTACACATACAGAGCTGGGTAAACCAGGTGAATGTACAAATACAGAGCTGGATAGACCAGGTGAGTGTACACATACATAGCTGGATAAACCAGGTGAGTGTACACAGACAAAGCTAGATAAACCAGGTGAGTGTACACATACAGCGCTGGATAAACCAGGTGAGTGTACACATACAGAGCTGGGTAAACCAGGTGAGTGTACACATGCAGAACTGGATAGACCAGGTGAGTGTACAAATACAGAGCTGGATAAACCAGGTGAGTGTACAAGACAAAGCTAGATAAACCAGGAGAGTGTACACATACAGAGCTGGATACACCAGGTGAGTGTACACATACAGAGCTGGATAGACCAGGTGAGTGTACACATACAGAGCTGGACAAACCAGGTGAGTGTACACATACAGAGCTGGGTAAACCAGGTGAGTGTACAAATACAGAGCTGGATAAACCAGGAGAGTGTACACATACAGAGCTGGGTAAACCAGGTGAGTGTTACACATACAGAGCTGGGTAAACCAGGAGAGTGTACACATACAGAGCTGGGTAAACCAGGTGAGTGTTACACATACAGAGCTGGATAAACCAGGAGAGTGTACACATACAGAGCTGGGTAAACCAGGTGAGTGTTACACATACAGAGCTGGGTAAACCAGGAGAGTGTACACATACAGAGCTGGGTAAACCAGGTGAGTGTACACATGCAGAACTGGATAGACCAGGTGAGTGTACAAATACAGAGCTGGGTAAACCAGGTGAATGTACACATACAGAGCTGGATAGACCAGGTGAGTGTACACATACAGAGCTGGATACACCAGGTGAGTGTACACATACAGAGCTGGGTAAACCAGGTGAATGTACACATACAGAGCTGGATAGACCAGGTGAGTGTACACATACAGAGCTGGATAAACCAGGTGAGTGTACACATACAGAGCTGGGTAAACCAGGTGAGTGTACACATGCAGAACTGGATAGACCAGGTGAGTGTACAAATACAGAGCTGGATAAACCAGGTGAGTGTACACAGACAAAGCTAGATAAACCAGGAGAGTGTACACATACAGAGCTGGATACACCAGGTGAGTGTACACATACAGAGCTGGATAGACCAGGTGAGTGTACACATACAGAGCTGGATAAACCAGGTGAGTGTACACAGACAAAGCTAGATAAACCAGGTGAGTGTACACATACAGAGCTGGATAAACCAGGTGAGTGTACACATACAGAGCTGGATAGACCAGGTGAGTGTACACATACAGAGCTGGATAAACCAGGTGAGTGTACACAGACAAAGCTAGATAAACCAGGAGAGTGTACACATACAGAGCTGGATAGACCAGGTGAGTGTACACATACAGAGCTGGATAGACCAGGTGAGTGTACACATACAGAGCTGGATAGACCAGGTGAGTGTACACATACAGAGCTGGATAGACCAGGTGAGTGTACACATACAGAGCTGGATAGACCAGGTGAGTGTACACATACAGAGCTGGATAAACCAGGTGAGTGTATACATACAGAGCTGGATAGACCAGGTGAGTGTACAAATACAGAGCTGGGTAAACCAGGTGAGTGTACACATACAGAGCTGGATAGACCAGGTGAGTGTACAAATACAGAGCTGGATAAACCAGGTGAGTGTACACATACAGAGCTGGATAAACCAGGTGAGTGTACACATACAGAGCTGGATAGACCAGGTGAGTGTACACATACAGAGCTGGGTAAACCAGGTGAGTGTACACATACAGAGCTGGATAAACCAGGTGAGTGTACACATACAGAGCTGGATAAACCAGGTGAGTGTACAAATACAGAGCTGGGTAAACCAGGTGAATGTACACATACAGAGCTGGATACACCTGGTGAGTGTACACATACAGAGCTGGATAGACCAGGTGAGTGTACACATACAGAGCTGGATAAACCAGGTGAGTGTACAATACAGAGCTGGATAATCCAGGTGAGTGTACACATACAGAGCTGGATAGACCAGGAGAGTGTACACATACAGAGCTGGATAAACCAGGTGAGTGTACACATACAGAGCTGGATAAACCAGGAGAGTGTACACATACAGAGCTGGGTAAACCAGGTGAGTGTTACACATACAGAGCTGGGTAAACCAGGAGAGTGTACACATACAGAGCTGGGTAAACCAGGTGAGTGTACACATGCAGAACTGGATAGACCAGGTGAGTGTACAAATACAGAGCTGGGTAAACCAGGTGAATGTACACATACAGAGCTGGATAGACCAGGTGAGTGTACACATACAGAGCTGGATACACCAGGTGAGTGTACACATACAGAGCTGGGTAAACCAGGTGAATGTACAAATACAGAGCTGGATAGACCAGGTGAGTGTACACATACAGAGCTGGATAAACCAGGTGAGTGTACACAGACAAAGCTAGATAAACCAGGTGAGTGTACACATACAGCGCTGGATAAACCAGGTGAGTGTACACATACAGAGCTGGGTAAACCAGGTGAGTGTACACATGCAGAGCTGGATAGACCAGGTGAGTGTACAAATACAGAGCTGGATAAACCAGGTGAGTGTACACAGACAAAGCTAGATAAACCAGGAGAGTGTACACATACAGAGCTGGATACACCAGGTGAGTGTACACATACAGAGCTGGATAGACCAGGTGAGTGTACACATACAGAGCTGGATAAACCAGGTGAGTGTACACAGACAAAGCTAGATAAACCAGGAGAGTGTACACATACAGAGCTGGATACACCAGGTGAGTGTACACATACAGAGCTGGATAGACCAGGTGAGTGTACACATACAGAGCTGGATAAACCAGGTGAGTGTACACATACAGAGCTGGATAGACCAGGTGAGTGTACAAATACAGAGCTGGGTAAACCAGGTGAGTGTACACATACAGAGCTGGATAAACCAGGTGAGTGTACACATACAGAGCTGGATAGACCAGGTGAGTGTACACATACAGAGCTGGATAGACCAGGTGAGTGTACACATACAAAGCTGGATACACCAGGTGAGTGTACACATACAAAGCTGGATAATCCAGGTGAGTGTACACATACAGAGCTGGATAGACCAGGAGAGTGTACACATACAGAGCTGGGTAAACCAGGTGAATGTACACATACAGAGCTGGATAGACCAGGTGAGTGTACACATACAGAGCTGGATAAACCAGGTGAGTGTACACATACAGAGCTGGATACACCAGGTGAGTGTACACATACAGAACTGGATACACCAGGTGAGTGTACACATACAGAGCTGGATAAACCAGGTGAGTGTACACATACAAAGCTGGATACACCAGGTGAGTGTACACATACAGAGCTGGATATACCAGGTGAGTGTACACATGCAGAGCTGGGTAGACCAGGTGAGTGTACACATACAGCGCTGGATAAACCAGGTGAGTGTACACATACAGAGCTGGATAGACCAGGTGAGTGTACACATACAGAGCTGGATATACCAGGTGAGTGTACAAATACAGAGCTGGGTAAACCAGGTTGTGGTCACAAATGGCATCAGGGTTCGGGACACTGGACTCTGTCACCAGCAGGGTGGGCAAGGTGAACACCTCTGCTTCTGATCCCTGCCCTCAAGATGACTTTTTCGTTTTCATCTTGGAAATGGGATTGCAGGGCAGAAAACAGCATGGTTTTTTAGAGAAAGATCTGAGAGCTCTTCTTTCTTAAAATGAATGGAAGCTGGCATTGGGACCAGTGCAGAGGGCCGCCTGAGAAGGCACATGGACATTCTTTAAATTGACAGCTGAGCCTGAGGCACTGGCAGAGTACCTTTGTCCAGGTGTCAGCAGGGGCGGGTCTAGATATGTAAATCCAGTAATGCTAGGGCCTGGCTAAGGATGCAAATAAGCTCCTTTGACCCTATAAATAAACCTGCGTGGCTTGGGGGGGGTCGCCTTTGCTGCCTCTCCATCAGAGAGATGGCGCCCACCTAGCGCCCAGCTCGATGAATCTATTTCTGCCTCCGTGACTCTTTCTTCTTTCTCTAATTTCTTAATCCCCAGCTCCTCCACTCAGGAAAACAGAGAGACAGCCCACCGCAGACCAGCTGCAAGGAGCATGCACCCGGGAAGCACCGCTGCCAGCCTCGCCATCGGAAGCCGGACCATCGCGGCCGCCGGCCGGAGGGACGGTTTCCCTGGAGTCTCCCCCTCTCCCAGAACCGGCCCTGGACCCACAGGGACCAGTGTGAACCCGCTGCTCACCACCGGAAACCTCCGGCTCTTGGCTTAATGGCGGCTGCGGGTTCGCGGGCTGGAGGGGCCTCCCGGGGTGCAGAGACGGGGATGCACAGTGCCCAGCAGGAAGCCAGCAGGGTCCAGGGTATTCCTATCCTGGTGCCACCGTCTGGGCTTGGCTACCTTTGCAGCCAGATTGCGGGGGGTAAGGAAGCGAGAGCTAAGACCTAGGGCCCTGCCCAGCCTCAAAGGGCCTGCCACTGCAGGCATGGGCAAGGCCACCTCCTGGGGCTGGGAGAGGAATCTGGAGGGGGAGGAGGGTTGGGGAGCACCAGGCTCCCAGCGCAGAGCGGCTTTCCTTTCCGCACACTGACTGCCCGGGGGAATCCCCCCCGGGGGAACCCCCCCCCCCCCCTCCCGGGAGGGACGCCCGGGCACTGCCGGCCCCACAATGCACCTCCCCTGACATCGCCCACCCCCCGGGGACCCGGGACACTCACTGGCACAGGTCTTCCCGTCGCTGCGGAGCGCATGGCCCTCGGGGCACCGGCAGGCGAAGGACCGGTCCGTGTTGACGCAGGAGTGCTCGCACCCGTGGTCGCTCAGCAGGCAGTAGTCCGCCCCTGGGAGCCCAGGGGCAGGGAGGGGGTGTCAGCGGGGCGCTGGGCGTCCCCCCGCCTCCCCCCCCCCCAGGGCTCTGATGGCGCAGGAAAGGTGCTCCCCCCGCCGCCCCCCGCAGGCCTCACACTCTCCCTCCCGCCCCGGGGGGGGGGGGGGGCACTCACGCGAGCAGGTCTTGAGGTCCTCGTTGATGACGAAGCCCTCGGAGCACTGGCACAGGAAGGACGTGTCCGTGTTCAGGCACAGCTGCTCGCAGCCGTGCGCCTGCTCCGCGCAGTGGTCCACGCCTGCGGGCACGGGGGGCACAGACCGCACGATCTTATTTATTTATTATTTATTTATTTATTTATTGTTATTAATATATTTTGTTGATTTTTTTACAGAGAGGAAGGGAGAGGGATAGAGAGTAAGGAACATCGATGAAAGAGAGACGTCGATCAGCTGCCTCCTGCACACCCCCTTACTGGGGATGTGCCCGCAACCAAGGTGCATGCCCTTGACCGGAATTGAACCCGGGACCTTTCAGTCCGCAGGCCGGTGCTCTATCCACTGAGCCAAACCGGTTTCGGCCCGTACAGTCTCCTTGAGCCACAGCTTCCCCATCTTTAGACATAAACGGGGGGTGAGAATGTCGATGCCTGCAGAGGCTGTTGTGGGATAAAGCGAGTGAACACCTGGGGAATGCTCCCCGCAGTGCCGGCCGGGAGCGAGGCCCCTAAGGGCTTGCCGTGTCCAGGGCCTGGGTCCCCTGAGCCTTCCAGGGGAGGGGATCCATGGCTTCCTCCGGGGACTTGGAGGAAGAAATGGGCGGCCGTATACTTTCTTTCTTTCTTTCTTTTTTTTTTTTAAATATATTTTTATTGATTTTTTACAGAGAGGAAGAGAGAGGGATAGAGAGTCAGAAACATTGATGAGAATCATCGATCAGCTGCCCCTTGCACACCCCCTACTGGGGATGTGCCCGCAACCAAGGTACATGCCCTTGACCGGAATCGAACCCGGGACCCTTCAGTCCGCAGGCCAATGCTCTATCCACTGAGCCAAACCGGTTTCGGGCTGCCTTATACTTTCTTAAAGCGAACTAGGTGGTCCTTCTTATTAGATCCAGAGAGAGAAAACAGCCCAGTCTCTCCTGGCCGCTCCTCTGAGCTGGCTCTTCTGGGTCCCCCAGGGACGCTGGGAGGGAGAGACGGGCCACGGCCCTGGGGGCTCCCGGTGGGCTCAGCCAGGTTGCCCCCGGGTACCCGCCAGGCCTTGTCAGTGGCAGACCCCACCCTCCTGGGAGAAGGCCGAGTCTACTCCAGCCGACCTCACCAGGCGTCTCCCTGTGGACGGGGGTCCTCCTGCTCCCGCTCCCGCTGTGGGGCTCAGAGACCAAGAGGCGCATGCAGGGCAGGACCAGCTTTCTGGTCCCAAAGCTCCTGGGCCTGTGAGGTCCACCCTCACACGCCTCCTCACTGTCCCCTCTGAGGGCTGGAGGGCACAGGTTCCCCGAGGACTGCCCCGGACTCCAGGCTTCCCCTCCCTGCAGCCTGAGGTCCCAGCGCTGACCAGCTGCTCTGCTCTCGCTCCCAGTCCATCTCTGTGCCCGAGGCGGCTCGCCGGGCGGAAAGCCACACAAAGGGCCCCTTCTGTGCGGGCCGGGCCACCAGGCCCCTCTCCCAGCTGGGCTTCCCGCCCCCAGGGCCACAGGCCGTCCCTCCTCCCCCTGCTGGCCTGGACCACGCGGGCCGGGCCTCATCGAGAAGGCCCGAGCCGTCCAGCTGGCAAGTTTCCGTGCATTTACATCACCGCATGGAGCTCTGTCGTGCTCCTTACACAAGAAAATTGAGAAAGGGGCTTCCCCAAAACCCCCATGTGGCAGCCGAGTCCGCCCCCAGCTCTGTGCCTCAGGGCCGGCCCGCACCCCTCCCCCCCAGGCTCCGTGATAACCGTGAGCTGTTCTCTGTAACCGTGTGTTTTCCTTGTGCCCTGGGCCACCTGCCCAGCGTTCGGGAGAGCAGCGGACTTGGCCTCAGGATGGTCTGACTTAATCACTGCTCTTACCAGCAAACGATAACACTCACTAATATTGATCGAGTGCTTAGCACGTGCGTCCAGCAGCACTGCTCTAAGTGTTTTCTATGTAGTGAGTCCTTTTAATCCTCACAAGGCATTCTGGGGGGGGGAGGGGGGTAGGTATAGCCCCATTTTACAGACGATGAAACTGAGGCAGGGAAGGTTACATCTGTCCGGTCACCAGGCCCACGGGACACCCAGGAACTCCAGGGATTGTTGGCTGCTGGTGAGCCCAGGGGCCTGGCGTGGCCCCTCCCCGCCCGCCGGTCGGCACCCCCGCCCGGGCACACTCACGGCTGCAGGTCTTGCCGTCGGGGCCCAGGCGGAAGCCCGGGCGGCAGCGGCAGTAGTAGCCCTCCTCCGTGTTGACACACTCGTGCTCGCAGCCCGGCTTCCTCAGCGCGCAGTAGTTGATCCCTGGGGGAGGAAAGGCAGGTCCCGCGTCAGGCTCTGGGCCGGCCCAGGGTGGTGAGGCCAGCTCCTCGCAGGATCCGGTCCCGAAATGAGGTGCTCCGTGGGGCCCGGGGAGCCCCGCTCTGCTCTCCGGGGCTCGTCTGAAGGAAAGCCTGGCGCCTGAAGTCATAAGCTGACCAGACGTCCCGATTTCTAACCATTTGCCCCACGTCCGGCGGCGTTTTAAAAAAGTCCCGATTTCTGGAAAGGCATTGTTAGAAATCGGGACTGTCCCGCCAAACGCGGGGCGTCTGATCGCCTTACTGTCGCGGTCTCTCCACGCCGGGTCTCCCCCTGGGGTGGCCAAAGAGCCCCCGTCTCCAGCCGAGCCCCTTACGAAAAAGCTGGGAACACCCAGTGGCCTCTTCTCCCAGCTGACCTGGTCACTAGGGCTCCTTGTGCCCTGGGCCACCCGCCGAGCATTTGACAGTGACCTTGGGCAGCACAAAGCAGAGTAAACAAAGACTCGTCTTGCAAGACACCCGGCGACGTGGCAGCCGCAGGACGCGGCAGCGGCCCCACGAAGGATCCACACGCTCACCCTGGCCCCGAGCGAGGCCAGGACAGCATCCCTATCAGGCACCTCGGAGAAGAGGCGTCTCGGATGCCGCTGCCGCCGCCCAGGGCGCAGCCTTGTCTTAGAGCAGTGGTAGGCAAACGTCTTCTAACGCCACTTCTTCACGAAACAGACCCGCCCAGGCCGTGGTGTTTTGTGGCAGAGCCACACCCAAGGGGCCAAAGAGCTGCATGTGGCTTGTGAGCCGCAGTTTGCCGACCACGGGGCTAGGAAACCCAGGTACTGAAAAGTAAAGCAGTCTGCCCCAGGCCACACAGCCAGGATGCACGACACTGCCAAGACCGGCCCTCACTCCGCCCAGCTCCGTCCCGATGTAGTCCCCACCCCAGGCTCCAGTGACAGGGCGTACCAGCCTGGTACCAGCACCTGCAACTCTGGAGCACATGGGCCACACCCACATCCGGTTTCACACACACACACACACACACCCCGGCCCCAGCTGGACAGCCAGGCCAGTCCTGGAGTCTGCGCTTTGCACGGCCGCCTTCCTAGTTTATGCCTTAAATCGCTGACAGCACTTTTCAGAAAAGGAAATTGTGCCCAGATGAGGCAGAAGAATGAGTCCCGGCCAAGGGTCTGTTCTCCAGGAGGATTCTGCTGGAACATTTCTCTTTCCTCCCCCCTCTCCCACAGTTTAATTGGATGAGATCAGATTCCTTTGAAAAAATAGATTTCTTATTAAATTTGAAAATAGCCCACATCCATTAACCGCCTACTAAATAAATGTAAGTGGCTGTATCCTTAGCTCAAGATTTGTAATGCTCTCGAGATCCTCAGACTCCTGCTAACCAGCTCCAGATTTCAAAGCCCATTTCTTTGCTTCCCCCTTGCACGTTATGCTCCGGAGAGACAGTGAGCGCTCGCTTCCTTGAGCAGCTGGATGCCACCACGGGGGGCAGCTCCTAGAGGCTGCCCTCAGGAGCCGAGGGCTGCGTCTGCAGCAAAGACACCGAAAACACAGCGATGCGGCAGGATGCTGGGAGAAGGGCTGAGGGGGACATCGGCTTTAGGAACAAGTTCCATCTCTCTGGGATGAAAGGGTAGGGCGCCTGGAGCTATAACCGCTGAACACACTACGTTAATGAGCATTTGGGACTCTGGGCCGGGCCAAAGCCTGAGGCCCAGCAGTGGGCCAGTTTTCCAAACTACGCCTGGATGGTCACGTCCTCTCCCCCTTTTGTTCTTGGCCTCTCTCCTCTATTTTTTTTTTTTAATATGTTTTATTGATTTTTAACAGAGAAAAAGGAAGAGAGATAGAGAGCTAGAAACGTCGATGAGAGAGAAACATCGACCAGCTGCCTCTTGCACACCCGCTACCGGGGATGTGCCCACAACCAACGTACATGCCCTTGACCGGAATCGAACCTGGGACCTTTCAGGCCGCAGACCGATGCTCTACCAATGAGCCAAACCGGCTTCGGCTCTCCTCTATTTTTTTTTTTTTTTTTAAATATACTTTATTGATTTTTTTACTGAGCGGAAGGGAGAGTTAGAGAGTTAGAAACATCGATGAGAGAGAAATATCGACCAGCTGCCTCCTGCACACCCCCCACTGGGGATGTGCCCGCAACCAAGGTACATGGCCTTGACTGGAATCGAACCCGGGACCTTTCAGTCCGCAGGCTGATGCTCTATCCACTGAGCCAAACCGGTTTTGGCGGCCTCCCTCCTCTATGGATAATGATGTGGGCGCTGCCTTGGGCCCTACTCTTATTCCTGGAGCCTCTGCAGGCCGATGTGGAGGGCGTGGCGGGGAGGAGGGGTCTCGGATGACTGGTATGAGAGGCAGAGCTCCACGGACCCCCATGCCTGACATGTTCCCTCTCCCCTCCGTCAGTAACTCGAAGAAGGACGCAGGAGCAGAACGAGTGCCTGAGCGGAACCAGACCTGATGATCCCCCGCCTAAGAGCTTTTGGTCCACAAATGTGAGTCCACCTGCAAGAGATTTTCCCTGGGCGTAGTCACCATGGACACATTTACCCTAAAAAAAAAAAAAAAAAAAAAAAAAAAAAAGGTGTGACTGGCAGAGAGGAGTGGCCAGGCCAGAACGCTTGGCCCTCTGCCATGCTGTGTGCATGTGTGGTCTAATGGAAACCATTCCGTCCGCCTGCTTTTACGTTCTGTGTGTTCTCAGCTAAAATTCCCATCCGAGGCTTGCGTGTTCCCAGGGCCTGCATCCAGGCAAGGCGATGGGAATTATCTTCCGTAAGAGGGGCTCCGTTTCAGCCGAAACCAGTTTGGCCCAATGGATAGAGCGTCGGCCTGTGGACTGAAAGGTCTCAGGTTCGATTCTGGTCAAGGGCATGTACCTTGGTTGCGGGCACATCCCCAGTGCAGGGGCAGGAGGGGGGGTGTGCAGGAGGCAGCTGGTTGATGTTTCTCTCTCATCGATGTTTCTAGCTCTCTATCCCTCTCCCTTCCTCTCTGTAAAAAAATCAATAAAATATATTTTAAAAAAAAAAAAAAAAAAAAGACGTCTGTGGACAAACCTTTGAACACTCGGCCCTGTGATGTGGAACCGCTGTACACACCACCGGGAGCAGGTGGGTAAAGGCACAGATGGGGACACACCCCCCTGCAGGGAGTTCCCGAGCGTTCTGTGTACCACACGGTCAGGAGAACGCCAACAATTCAGTGTGCCTCCGTGTGGACCGACGATGAAAGTATTTTTGGAAAACATTCGCCACTTGCATGCCTTCCAAAGGCCATCTCTCCCACAAGATGGAGTCATTCAAATAACAGAGAGACCCATGGAATCTTCATTCATTCATTCAGTAAACTGTGTCAGACCTCCATGGGCCAAAACTTCGAGTTGTTGAGGATTCAAGAATGAGAAAAGGGTAGCTGAAATCGGTTTGGCTCAGTGGATAGAGCGTCAGCTTGTGGACTGAAAGGTCTCAGGTTCGATTCTGGTCAAGGGCATGTACCTTGGTTGCAGGCACATCCCCCGTGGGGGGTGTGCAAAAGGCAGCTGATCAATGATTCTCTCTCATTGATGTTTCTAATTCTCTATCCCTCTGAATCCTCTCTGTAAAAAAAAAAAAAAAAAAAAAAAAAAAAAAAAAATCAATAAAATATATTAAAAAATAAAAATAAAATAAAAATCTCTGTCCCTGTGGAATTTCCAGTCTAGGGTCCCTCAGGAACAGTCTCGTCTGATTTAAAGAGATCCCCTTTGAAGTCCCAGCTCACAGGCCTTTGAGTCACCCGGCACATCCTTAGCATCCTCCTGCTGGCGCCATGTGCCCCTGAATGGGACGGGGCTGCCCGGACTCGTATGTTTTTCCTTCCTTCATCCCCAAGGGGCTAGAGCTCCAATTCCCCCCTCTCAGCAGCTACCAGGACTGGGAGAAACCAGCTCCTGTGACCTCCTGTCTCGGGGTCCCATCGTTTCTTTCTCAAAGTCCCACATACATGCTGTGGGGGCAAGGAGGAGGGAGGGCGCACCCCCACTTTGGGCAGGCCAGAGCTCCCACTGGGGCTCGACGTTGCTAAGTGAACCCAATGGGCAGACCCGTCTGTTCAACCTCTAAAAGCCATCCCAGCACAGCATCACGAGACAACGGTAAAATGAAGGGCAGGACAGTATCGGGAGACATCAAGGCTGCGTGTGTCTGCCTGAGATCTGCCAGGAAAAGGAAACGTGTGGAGCTTTGGGCAGAACGAGCCCCTTGCCAACACCCAGGCAAACACTCACTCCTGCAGGTCTTCTGATCCGGGTTCAGGGAAAAGCCTTTCAGGCAGCGGCAGGCATAGGAGTCATCCGTGCTCACACACTCGTGCTGGCACCCATGATTCGGCGAGGCACAGTAGTCTATCTCTGGAAAGAAGGAAAAAATCGTATTATTATTATTAATAATAATAATAATAAAAATAATAAACCTAGGATAGGAAAACCAAGGGATTTTCAGTCTTAACAATTTTCCATATTTAGGGATATGGGCCTCAAGAAGAGAATGTTCTTTTCTCTTTTTTCTTTTTACAGAGAGAAAGGGAGAGGGATAGAGAGTCAGAAACACTGATGAGAGAGAAACTGCGTATGTGCCCGAAACCAAGGTACAAACATGCCCTTGACTGGAATCAAACCCAGGACCCTTGAGTCTGCAGGCTGACGCTCTATCCACTGAGCCAAGCCGGGCCAGGGCAAAAAGAGAATTTTCTTGACGTGTCCCATCGAAGGGACATGGGTTCGATTCCCGGCTAAGGGTACATACTTGGGTTGCAAGTTGATCTCGGGGTCTGGTCGAGGTGCTTGCAGGAGGCAACCAATCGATGTGTCTCTCTCTCACATTGATATTTCTCTCTCTCCCCTCTCCCTCTCTTCCAGGATCCATCAAGATGTCTCTAGCTCTCTATCCCTCTCCCTTCCTCTCTGTAATAAAATCTATAAAATATTTTTTTTTTAAATTAAAAAACAAAAAAACACCGCAGGGCACAGCCAGGCTGAGTCAGACTGGTCTGACTGTCCCCAGAGGCTGGTCTCTGGGAAGGACACCTTCATGAATTGCCTTGGAGGGTGACCCTGAGAGAGCGTGGCCACCGATTTAGGACGAGCTCGGGAAGGCCTGGCAGAGGAGGAATGGGATGGATGGCACCCCTCTGCACAGATTCCCAAGCTCCTCTATGTTTGGGAGGTCTCCATGGATACGGGGCCCAGCCCGACACGTCTTTTTGGCTGTTGCCTGTAACTTACTCGTGCACGTTTTTTTGTCTGCATTGAGAGAAAATCCTTTAGGGCAGCGGCAGGCATAGGAGCCCTCGGCATTCACACACTCATGCTCGCACCCGTGGTTTCCTGAGGCACAGTAGTCCACGGCTGTAAAGACGAAAACACAGAGAGTTTACGTGGAAGCACCAATGGGGGGAAGGGGGCGGTGGCATGGAGGCAGACTTACAAGAAACAGAAATAGGGGTTGATACTATTGCCCCCAAAAGGGTCTGAGTAAGTAAATACGAGCCCAAGACCTCCCTCTCGCAGACATAAAACCAGGAGCCTGGCTCAGGTCACTTACACCGAAGATACACTAAAGAACGCAGAAAGCATTGTATCTAAACGGTAAAGAAACGCAAACCAAGACAGTCACAAGGCACGCTTACATCCATTAAGCTGCAAAATTAAGGCTAAGCTAATGGTGGCATGTGGGCCCGTGTGGCTCGGTTGGTTGAGCGTCATCCAGGGCACCAAAAGGTCACCGGTTCGATGCATGACCTGGCAGAAAAAAATCCGATGGCTCAAGGTCTTATCACACTACTCAGAATGGCATGCAATTCTTAAAATATATGTTTTTATTGGTTTTAGAGAGAGAGGAAAGGAGAGGGAGAGATGGGATTCAGGCAATTCTGGGTCCTGAGACTTGGCCTGGAAAAACCCCAAGGTGTCAAGTCCCCCCTGACCTGCAGGCCACTCCCTGGGGCAGCAGATGAGACCATCAGCTCAGCATTAAACGTGGAGGAGCCAACTGCCAGGCCTGCGAACCTAAAAGCCTTGTAAGGCCAAGAGAGTTCCAGTCCACTCAACCCTGACATCCTTGGATGCGTGTTGGGGTTCTTGGCATAACTCCCTCGGTTGCAAAATTGGAGAGAGAGGCCCCGTTTAGGGGACTGACGTGTATAACCCAGCGATGCCTCTGCTATTGCGAGTCCTCATCTACGTCAACAACATCCTCTCTCGGTCATTGTGTCTGAAATTTCTCCTCTCCCCTCTCTCTCCTTTACGAACAGAAAGAGGACAGCCGTTTCCCTATCATAGTGGGTACATCCTAAGACTCCCAGTGGATGCCTGAAACCACAGAGAGTACTAAACCCCACATTCACTGTTTTCTCCTGGACACACATACCGGTGACAGCATTTAATTTATAAATCGGGCACAGTAGGAAACAAACAACAATAACTAAATAGAATAATTATAGTATTATAGTAGTATTATACAATAACTAATATTTATAGCATCTTCTTTCATCCTTAACTCCGTCCCTCTCCATTCCTCCAATCACTACTCATTCTCCGGCTCTTGTCCCCTCGCACCTGATCATGGCCATAGACTCCCATGGTCTTCCCATCCCTCACACCTTCCTCCTGGAGCCCATTCTGCGGTTCACCACAAGGTTAAGTTTCCTAAGAGGACGCTTTGCCATTGTCACTCCCCAATACAAGTTCTTAGGTAGCTCCTTTTCAGAGGGGAAGGCCATACTCTTTCCGTGATTTTCAAAGCTCTGAACAGTCTGGTTCTCCTCGTATCTTAAACATAAGCTCCTACCTCACACCTGCAGGAATTCTCTGCTTCAACAGATCTGGTCTCCTCAACTGTGTAAGTCAAGCTTAGGATCCTTAACTAGCACAAGCATATAATTTATTGTCAATCTGGAACCCATCTGAAAGTGAGAGGGCGTGCAACTGAGAACTGAGCCAACAGGCATACACTGGGATCATCCTGGGCTAGCTGGGATATATGGTCACCATATTATTATTTTTGTTTTGTTTTGTTTTGTTTTGTTTTGTTTTGTTTTGTTTTACAGAGAGGAAGGGAGAGGGATAGAGAGTTAGAAACATCAATGAGCCGAAACCGGTTTGGCTCAGTGGTAGAGCGTCGGTCTGCGGACTGAAGGGTCCCAGGTTCGATTCTGGTCAAGGGCATGTACCTTGGTTGCGGGCACATACCCAGTAGGTGCTGGTCGATGTTTCTCTCTCATCGACGTTTCTAGCTCTCTATATCTCTCCCTTCCTCTCTGTAAAAAATCAATAAAATATATTTACAATAAGAAACATCAATGAGAGAGAAACATCGATCAGCTGCCTCCTGCACACCTCTCACCGGGGATATGCCCGCAACCAAGGTACATGCCCTTGACCGGAATAGTACCAGCGACCCTTCAGTCCGCAGGCCGATACTCTATCCACTGAGCCAAACCAGTTAGGGCTGGTCACCATATTCTTAATGTTCTTTGCTCATCTACATACAGGCCACCCGGCCAGCTGCTGATGGGATTATTCCAGGGTCCCTCCAAGCCTTTGCTCTCCTCTCAAGCCCTTGCTCTAAGTCTGAGAGCTGGGAGTCTCCAATTTGGCAAGACTCTTCAGATCGATATCCTCGGGCTGGGCTGCCTATGTAGCTTTCCTGATCCACCAGCTCAAGGCCTGCCCCTCCTAGCACAGCCTCAACCCCCAAACTTTGAGAGCACAGCCACCTCCACACCATCATGTCCTCTGTGTCTCCTCTTCCTTGGACATCTGTCCAGTTGCTACCCTTCCTTCCTTGCCCGGATCTTCCTCACCCCAGCCATCCTGATGTCCCTTCTGTAGCCCCTATTACTTCTGTCATTTGCTTTGGACTCAGCACAACCCCACTGAATAGCAACCGACTTTCTGAGAATTAGTTCCGTCTCTCTAACCAAGGCCACCGGCAACAAAGGTCTACTGTCGCTTAATCCTCTCACTCCCAGCCTCTTACAGGTCTGGCTCCTGGTTGAGGAGGAGGATGACAGGAACACCTGATGGATGGTTAGGCCCGGGTCGCACGTGGCCCCCTCCCCTTTTCCCACCCCTTTCCTTGGTCTGCCCCTCTGAGAAAAGGCAGATATTCTTCAATGCTGATAACATCTCAAATGCCATCTCTAATAAACACAGCCCACAGCAGCTCCCTGGCAACCACGCATCTACTTTCATGCTCGCTGCTCTTCAATAAATGTCAAATTCCAGAAGTTATAGCATAATCCTCAGACACACAAAGGTTCTCTACTCCAAGGGACAATTAGGCAATTATCCGGCAAAACTCAGAGAGCTGGGTTCCTCGCTGCCCTCCAGTTTCCCAAGCGCCAAGGCAGACCCCGGCCTTAGCCCGTGGCCTCACCACCCCCGTCCCATCTACTCACTGTCACCCTCACAGGCTCTGACTCTCCCTTTCCCTCCCCTCCCTGTTCCTCCCCTCCCTGTCCTCTACCAGACACCCTCACCCTGTTTCCTGCTCTTATTCCCCATGGCCTCGTTTCCTTCTCCTCTGTAGCACCCCCAACTTTCCAGGCATTTAACTGATAAGGAAGAAAGACAGTGTGACCTCATTTTGTTAAACATTAACAAAACGATGTCTTGAGGTACAAACTTATATGGGGCAAAGTCTGGTAAAAAATACAACAAACTATTAGTGATTTTCTCTCATCTGTTTAAGTTCCACGACAAAAGTACGTTGCTTGCATGATACACATCAATGGAGCAAAAATCATACAATTTGGTGTTTCTTTTACTTTTATTTTTTTTAATGTATTTTATTAATTTTTTACAGAGAGGAAAGGAGAGGTATAGAAAGTTAGAAACATCGACCAGCTGCCTCCTGTACACCTCGAACTGGGGGTGTGCCTGCAACCAAGGTAGATACCCTTGACTGGAATCGAACCTGGGACCCTTCAGTCCATAGGCCAACGCTCTATCCACTGAGCCAAACCGGTTAGGGCACAGTTGGTGTTTCCTGTGCTGTCTTCTGTTTTGCCAGTGCTGTTTTGCCACCTAGCAGGGTCACCACCAGCAGATTAAGAAAAACATCAACTCCAACGCTCAGGAGACTGATTCAGCCCGTGGCCCTCTACTGAGGCGGCTTACATCCCATCAGCTCGTAACCACAAACAAACCCCGGATGCTCATCCCTCCCCTGCAAAAAGCAGGCCGTCACCTCTACTTCATGCTTTGTTGTAAATTCTATGCACACAAAAAGTTCACTCATGGTTCCGTGGGCAGCAAGACACACAATAGGATACGGATGAGAAAATGCAGGCTTTAGAGTCAGAAAATATAGGTTCCAGTTCTGATACCAGTGGAGTCCTTTTCCTGTTAGATGTTCTGCGGAAGGCTGCCCATGCCTTCAGGCTGCCACTCCACGAGGCAGCACGCCACCAGGTAAACTTCACACACGTGACACACGAGCTGTGGCTATGTCAGGCCATCTCAAACACCCACCCATGTTCGCTGGATGGAAGCCCGCCCAGTCCTTTCCAAGGGTTGCCATAACAGACAACAATATCCTATATAATAAAAGGCTAATACGCAACTAGACAGAATGGCAGAATGACCAGTCACTATGATGCGCACTGACCACCAGGGGGCAGACACTCAACATGGGAACTGCCCCCTGGTGGTCAGTGCGCCCCTCAGCCACAAGCTGGGCTCACAGCTGGGGAGCACAGTGCTCCCACTCCAGGGCAGCACTACGGATGTCCAACTGACGGCTTAGGCCGCTCCCCATAGTTGGACATCCCTCGAGGGCTCCTGCACTGCAAGAGGGCGCAGGCCAGGCTGAGGGTCCGTGTGTCCCCCCCCCACCACCGCTACCAAGTGCATGAATTGTGTGCACTGGGCCTCTAGTTTACACAGATTATCATAAACCTGCCTTCTGCTGAGCACCCGGAATGAGAAAAGGCCAACGTCAGGCTCGAATGAAGTCTTCCAAGTTCCAATTCCAACCACGAGGCCAGAGGACTGAGCACTTGGCTAAAACTCACAGGAGAGTGACTGGGTATGGGGGGCAGGCCAGCCCTTCCTCCCCCCGCCAGGCGGCAGGGAATACTCACCCACACACCTCTTCCCGTCCTCGGCCAGGGCGTAGCCGCTGTAGCATTGGCACACGAAGGAGCCCAGCAGGTTCACACAGAGCTGCTCGCAGCCGTGGTCCTCGGCCGCGCACAGGTCCTGGACTGAGGCAAAGTCACCGCGTTAGGACAGCCGAGGGCCTTCACACAGAGCACGCAACACGCAACCGCGCAGCACACGCTAACGTAACTCCTGAAAACGTTGTAAGCATTCATGTACGATCATAGGGGAAAATATGGAAAACATACAACCACCGATAAAAGAAAACCCGCCTGTAAGTCCCCCTCCCTCCCACCCTTCATGCCGTCTCCGCCCCAGAGGCCACCACTGTTCACACCTTGGTGAGTGTGTACGCATACATTTTCCCACGTTGAAATGATTCACCTCTATTATAAACGCATCGAGTAGTTTTAAGCTCACATCCGTGTTTAGTCCCTGCGTGCCACTGAAAGTGCTCTGGAAGCACGGTGAGCGGCTGTGAGGGCCCCGGGCGGGCATTGCACCTGTCTGCCTCCGGTCCCATCCCTACTCTCAGAGAACCGAGTGCTTTGCAGGCAGTCCCGGCAATTTATACGAAATAATCTGCCGCTGTCTTCCCCATTTTGTAGAGGGAAGCTGAGAGGGCATCGAGGAAGGCCTGCTATTCCACCCAGAACACGGCAGGTCTAAGAGGAGCCCCTAGCCCCCAGCCCTGCACCGGCCCAGTGGCCATCCTTCTCCTCATTCCATGCGTCCACAAGAAGGAGCTCTGAAAACCCTCTTTGCCGTGTATGTGTTCATCCCAGCGACAAAGGAGGAAAACGGGAAGCCAGAGGCGGTCCGGGAGGTAACCAAGTTTACCAGGGAGAAATGAATGTATGGTTATTCGTGGTCAGTCCTATTTGGGCCAAATGTTTATCTTATGTCCGCACAGCACTGAGCCCTGGCTGTTTACTAAAATGCAATGGAAGGATGCGCTGCAGGCCCTGCCCAGTGTGGCTCAGATGGTTGAACGTCATCTCGTGCACCGAAAGGTTGTCGGTTCAATTCCCGGTCAGGGCACATGCCCAGGTTTTGGGCTCGAGCCCAAGTAAGGGGGGTGCAGGAGGCAGCTGATCAATGTTTCTCTCTTATTGGTGTTTCTGTCTCTTGCTCCTACTCCCTTCCTCTCTCTCTAAAAAAATCAATGAAGAACATATACAAAAAAAAAAAAAAAAAAAGAAAAAAAAAAAAAAAAGAATGCACTATAGGAATGCATTTACTGCAGTGAAACTAGGACTAGATCAGAGGGTGGAAGGTTAAAGGCATTTTCAGTTTATCACTGCTGCAGTCTCTCCTTTGCAGAAAAAGGCTGACAGGATGCCATTATTTCCCAGCAAGGAGAATGACTTGGTTTCATAACCAGCTCTTCCAGTAACTTCACCATTAAAGTTGGGGGGGGGGGGGGTGTCAAGATAATAAATGGATTGAATATATTAAAAATAATTTTCTCCGGTTAATATGACAGCTTTGAATAAACTGAAAGTTTGATTAATGCCTGAATCCAACAGCTATATTTAATGTAATTTCCTAGGTCTTTGAACTTTATAGTTTATTATGCTTTTAGATAAATATAAAACATCAAATTGATAAAAAGACAAAAGCTGATCAATTCATTACCTATTAAATGCATTACAGAATTTAAGAAAAATAAAACCTACATCATAACATTAAAAATGCTCAAGTCTAAGATCCCACAAATAAGGATTCTGGTTATAAAAACATTAAAAGAATGTATTTTCAACCCAAATCAATAAAGTAGTTTGTTTGTTTTTTAATTCTAGATGAAAATTCCTTTATCTCTTACCAGAATAACTGTACCTTAGATTTCCAATTGGGAAATCCAATGGAGATTTCCAATACAAGGAAAACACCAGTAACCAAAATAACCTTCCGCTCACGCAGAAATTATTAAAGAATAACAAAATCTACAGCTAGTTCCAAGCCTAGGCCAGAGACCTAAGGAAAATCGGAATTATAGGACACTCTTCATTTATTCAATCAATAAAGCCCTTACTTTGTCCCAGGCACTGGGGATCCAGGGGTGAGCCTAACAGACAAAGGGGTTCCTGCAGTCACCAGCTTGTGTCCTAGGGGTTGATAGTGGGAAGCTCGAGGAGGAGTGTTCCTGACTACAAGAACAGCACGTGCCAAGGCCCTGAGGCAGAACAAACTAGGCCAATCTGAGGACGGGACAGGCCAGAGTGCAAGCGAGAGACAGATGCACCCTGAATCTCTAAAAGACAAGACAGAGCATGCTAGACACCCACACGAGAGAGGCTGACAATACAGTAGCAGTTCAGAAAGGGGATTATTGCCCCCAGTCAAGAGTGGATCGGACCCGGCTGACAGGGAAGTGTGAGTAGAGAAGGGGAGGTGGCCGAGGGATCAGCAGGAGGCAGCTGATCCATGTTTCTCTCTCATTGACATTTTTTGGTTTTCTTTTAATACATTGTATTTATTTTTTACAGATAGGAAGGGAGAGGGATAGAGAGTTAGAAATATCAATGAGAGAGAAACATCAATCGGCTGTCTCCTGCACACTCCCCACTGGGGATGTGCCCGCAACCAAGGTACATGCCCTTGACAGGAATCGAACCCGGGATCCTTGAGTCTGCAGCTTGATGCTCTATCCACCGAGCCAAACCAGCTAGGGCCATTTCCTTCTTCTTTAATATATATATATATATATATATATATATATATATATATATATATATATATATATATATATGTGTGTGTGTGTGTGTGTATATGTGTGTGTGTGTGTGTATACACACACACACATATATATACACATATATATGTATATATATACACACATATATATACATATATATATATATTTTTTTTTAATTGATTTCAGAGAGAAAGGGACAGGAAGAGATAGAAACATCAATGATGAGAGAGAATCATTGACCGGGTGCCTCCTGTGCGCCCCACACTGGGGATCGAGCCTGCAACCCAGGCATACACCCTGACCGGGAATCGAACCCTGACCTCCTGGTACATAGGCTGACACTCAACCTCTGAGCCATGCTGGCTGGGCTGCTTCCTCCTTTAAACAAACTTCTGTAGTCCGTGGTCCCCTGGGACACCCTGTGAGGGCGCTGAGGGTGGTAGGAACAGAAGGATCGGGGGCCCGAACTTCGGAAGGACAGCCCCACCCACAGCAAGCCTGCCTGTTGGCTTCCGGCTGCGGCCTCTCACGCTGTGTCCAGGAGGCTGGGGATTTGTGGCCACCAGGGATCTGTCCGGCCCCGAGGGAAACCATGGGATAAAATGAATTAAACAAAGACAACGGAACAAATACAGACCAGATCCTGACAAAACAACTGTTGTTTTTTGGCAGCGGTCGCTTCCATTTGAAACAAATACAGATTTTTTTTTTTTTTTTTTGGATGATTCCTTATGCTTTTGAAAAACAGCACTTCTTTTTCTCACAGCCTGGCGGGGGGAAGAGGGGGGTAGGGTTTCGCTGAAGAGTGATAAAACCATGGGGGCAGCAGAAGCACTGGACTCGGAGCTGCCATTACCCTTCCAGATCTTCTTCACCTGATGACTCCCCACTCACAGCTCATGACTTCAGTCCAATGTCACCTCCTCCAGGCAGCCCTCCCAGGTTGGCTGGACGCCTTCCTCTGACTCCCTGGCACTGTACACATGACCCTACTCCTGCTCCTCTGAATTTTCCTCAGGGTATTGGAAGGACCCCGTCACAGTCTGTCTGCTCCACTGGCACGTGAGCTTGGTCTGCCTCAGTTTGGATTCCCCAGAGCCTAGCTCCATGTCCTCGTGCATGTAGCTGGCGCTCCATACGTGTCCATCTGCTGAAGGAACAGTGGCCGAGGTCCAGGCTCCGGCCTCCCAGCTCTCGGATGTTCCTCAAGTCCTAAAAATACTCTTCCTCCGTCAGAAGCGGGGTCATGGGAAGATGAGAGAGACGGGAACAGCACTCCTTCCTCTCCTCATCTCGAGCAAGAGAAAGCTCAGAGCACAAGGACATCTGGGAGCCGGCCCCCAGCTGCAGACACCAGGAGGAGGACCGTGACGGCTAAGGACCCGCTGCCTTGCTGTCTGCGGCATCCCCGGTACCCAGCCCAGTGCCTGGCACATCGCAGGTGTTCAACAGCAACTTGTGAGCGGACAAATGAACCCACATCTATGCAACACGAACACGGGGATGACCGGCGATCCTCCCTCGCTGATCTCACCCAGGCCGTAAGCTCGGAGACTGACAGGATGTCTGCTCTTTCCTCAGGATGCTGAATAAGACCATGTGCTTCATACAACAGGTGCTTAATGGACTTGACAGCCACCATCTCTCTCTTTTTTTAAAAAAATATTTTATTTATTGATTTTCCACAGAGAGGAAGGAAGAGGGATAGAGAGCTAGAAACGCCGATGAGAGAGAGACATCAACCAGCTGCCTCCTGCACACCCCCTGTCGGGGATGTGCCCGCAACCAATGTACATGCCCTTGACCAGAATCAAACCTGGGACCTTTCAGTCCGCAGACCGATGCTCTATCCACTGAGCCAAACCGGTTTCGGCCACAGTTTCTCTTTCCACAATTATAATGTTACACAATTTGCAATAGATTATTTAATGTCTCTCCCCTATCATACATGGCAGTGCTTGTTCTGTTCAGCCTTTTAGCTCAAATATCTAGCATGGTGTCTGACATCTGGTCAATTTTTTAAAATATAGGGTGAGCCTCCCAAAATGTATACGTGCTTTAACAGCTGATAGCTCCATTTTGAAAAGGAAATATATTTTAATAAACACTGCTTTTACACTTATTCAAAGTGTGTGTGTGTGTGTCCATGTCTGGAGGACACCCTACATATTGGAATGACTGACTGAATTAGTCAAAGTTGTTCAAACGGCTAGAAGAACAACAGTGAATAAAACAGATTTGAAACATCAATCGCTCGATCCCTGTCCCCATGGAGCCAGTTCCCACCAGCTCACGCACCAGACTGCACAACTCCACAGTCATCAGGGCCAAGTGCAGTATTCACACCACAGGAATTGACGAACATTACCAATCAGAGCTTTTCCCCCTGGAGATCCCATCGCTGAG